ACCCAACAAAAAGGAAACAAAAGAGGGGTGGAGATCCCTACCAAATAGAACAAAAGTAGGGGAGGCCACTGAGCCAGTCTTGCCATGGGCCATCGCATTCAGCGCCCCCCTTCTAAACTGTTTAACTCAAAACTAACCAAAACAAAAACAAAAACTGATAACTGAACTACTGGTGATCTCCAACCCTACGACTAAAATAACAAACTAAAACAACAACAACCAGCACTCTGGCCCATGTTGGAGAACGAGGATCAGGTTGGGAGAAGATTCCACTCCCAAGCACTTGATAGGTAGGTGGCAACTGTGACAGCAGGGGCACTCTCTCCTCAACAGGTCCCTAGGTTTTTATGCCTCACCATACTATGAAGATTTTTTTATGTCATACTATACAATGATTTATTTGTGGGATGGCTCGGTGGGGCAGTGGTTAGAACTGTCACCTCACAGTGAGAAGGTTCTGGGTTGGAACCCGGGCCTGGGGCCTTTTTATGCTTCACCATAGTATGACTTTTCATGCCTTAATATATCATGGCTTTTTTATGCCTTACTATACTATGACTTTTTATGCCTTAGTATACTATGATTTATGACATATATATGACATATATGTCCCTATATCAAGGGTGATGTTACTATATGTGTCACCTATAAGAGGTTATATTATTATGATATATCCTCTAGATATATGAACATATAAGTTTTTAACATTTATGAAACACTCACAGTAAAATGCAACTTCATTAAAACAACATGCTTATTAAAATTCTCTATGTTGGTATATGATTTTCTTAATTTCTTATTAAATTTAAACATACATGTCTTTTATATTTACACATATAATATGAATTTATACTGACAGGCTTTGGGATGGATATATATTTATGTAACATATATATATATATATATATATATATATATATATATGTATGTATGTATACACACACACACACACACACACACACACATATACACATATATATAAGTTCAACACATATACATATATAACATTTGCATATGCGCATTCCTGAATCTAAATTCAGATCTCATATGTTCACAAACCATTTGGTGGCGGCATTAAAAAGCAAATCTCTTTGTTTTGGAGGGGTGGCGGGGTTGTTTTGTGTCCCTATCAATGTTGAGACCAAACCTATGCCCTTGCTTCCAGTGCACCAGAGGATTTTACGTTGGAAAGACCCAATAGACTCTGGTGTTTAGAGCAGTAAATGCTAAATATTAACAACTAATGTATAGATGCTCACATGAAGGATGCATTCAGTAGGTCATGTCATGTGGCATCAATGCCAGGGCAAATAAAACTGATGAAGGTGAGAGCATGCCATCTGTGCAGCTTTGCAATTTCTCACCTCACTGATGCGCAACACATCTTCTCTTCTCCTTCTCTCTTCGTCTTCCCAACTTCTCTCAGTCTTCTCTCAAGCTGGCCACCATCAATCTGCAACCTGCACACCAGCCTGTTTCACAGTCTTGTCTTGTTGCTCTGCACATCTGCCTGTGTGTGTAATTTCCTTGCATCATACTTACGTGTATTCCCAGTCACTCAATACTGAGTAAAACATCTGGAGGAACACCAGTAATTGTAGGGTTTCCTAATTGATTAGATGGTCACTGACTTCAAATGGCTGTTAACTTCAAAAAGTGGACTGCAAAAATCTCTTTTCAATTTGCAGTGGATGGAGGGGAAATGGACACATGGTGGAGATGGGAAGAGAGTGACCACAGCGACGAATCACTGCCCCTGCAATCACTGATAAACATCCCTTATGGCAAAGAAGTGGTCAGCACCCAGGAAAGGGCAGTGAGATTTTATCTGGAGAATAAATCTGTCTTGGAAAGAGCTGAGAATTTCCTATACAGAGTTTCCATTTACCAGAAGCAGTGGAACAGTTAGAGAAAGGTGGAAATGGGCTCAGGGAGACAGAGACACAGAGAGAGAGAGAGAGAGAGAGAGAGAGCAGGAGACAGTGGAGGAAGGAGTAAAAGGAGAATCATATGAAAGACACAAAGATTTCACAGCCTGTAAGGAAGAGTACAGGCAGTCTTCTAAACCACTTAGACAGGTCTTAGAGAGAGGGATAAAAGCTTGCAGAGGGGACATACTCCAAAATCTTCTACTGGCCTGCAGTAGACTTTATTGTTAAACCTAAGCAATCCTCCACCACTGTTTTGGGCGTGTGCACTGAAAATCTTTTGAGCTATCATCATCCTCTCTCCAATCTTTCCTGTGTTTAAATTTTCAGTGTAGAATCTACTATGAGTAGAGAGTTGTTGGCTGATAATCTCTGAACACGATGACACTGGGAACATGCACTGAATGCTGCACTATGTGTCCTTGCAGGTGTTTTACAGTGTAACCCACAGTGTTCATTTAAAGTCATGGCAAGTTCCTTTTCTGCTTTGGCTTTCTTTTTTTCTGCCCAGAGGCTGAAACTGCAACTCTTAAAGATGCCCTGCCAAGCAATACTTATGCAAAGTTAAAAAAAAAAAAACAGGAACAATTTAAATATCAAATAAACTAACTGGATACACAGAGATCTGAAAGCTTGTCTTTGTAATGAATACTCTTCAGGGGACAAAATATTTATGACTGGAGCACCACAAATTCGTTGGCTGATTCCCTGCATGGCAGATGCAACGAATGGTGATGATCGACGAGCATGTCTCGGGAATAAAACAGTCACGTGGCACTAACCTGTGATCCTCGTCGCCTGGCTGTGATGGTTGGGGTCGGGCCGATAGCATCAGAAATGACTTGTCTGTGTTATGCTATATCTCACTCTTGTTTCGTCACAATCGGAATGCGTGGAGTGGCGATATGCGATCTCTGCATGTGTGAAGTTACTAAGCCTGAAGCACCCAATTATTGCCAGGGACTGTCAGTGGGCTTGTACTGTAACATACATACGCTGGGAAGTTCAAATGAATCAAATGTAGTGAAACAGAACAAAGACGGCCTCTTTTCCTGTGACCCCTTTCATATGTTTGCAATTATGAGAATCACTAAGACGCAGAAATAAAATCTATACTGTGATATGCCTCGTTTCTTTTCTGTACTGCACTAACGAGAGATGAAGCCGAATTACAAAACAAGATGCGTTTGTCTTTGAAGTACAGATCAGGATTACAACATCCAAGGGTGGCCTCTGATCACTGGATGCCTTCATCTAATGTGAGTTGTTCCTTTACAAAGTCCCTGCTGAGAAAATAAAACACTGTGCCATCATTACAAGAGCTTCAGGATGAAATAGTAACCATTTACTCATCAAATGTGACATAAATTTCTCACCCAGGCAAACGTACAGTCAATAAAACATCAGACCCTGATAGGTCATATCAAATAAAACTTTTTCAGAATATTTTCAAGTCTCCATAAATCCATCTTCGTGCAACTTTTAAAAAAATGCACTGTTGTGGCCAGTGGTTACAAAATAGACAAGATTTGACAACCCCGCAGGCTTGCCTCCTTGCATGTATCCCCTATCTTCAAGGTTATTGCCGAGCCATTTGTTGCGCTTTAGATAATTGACTCTTAGATGAGGGATAACCATGATTTATGGACAAAGAGAATACATATTCCTCCATATCTCAGTGGTGATTTATGGTGTGATAGAGCTCAAGTGATGGCCATTTTATCTGATTGTACGTCATGCAAAGTAGTCGATCAAGTCCGCGCAATCAGTCACACCTCGTCCCGGCTGAGATGACAAGGATGAGAGGCAGGGGCTTCTCTCTCTGGATTTCTTCGGTGTACGTAAAGCTCTTTAAGGCAAGTTATTATATGCAGAGCTGGGTAAACCATGGCGACCTAAATCACAGCTGCGCCAAACACACGCTCACCAGGTGGAGGGATTTATGATCTGTATGACGGATAAACCTGAGGCCTTGGAGTGGCATTCGTCATATGCAGGAATGGCCTGCTCCGAGGTTCCATATTTAAAACATATTTGACCTTTTCACTTGCTTATTTTATTTTCTGCTCTCTAATGTTAGTTTATTGGCAGTTTCAAATCTCCAGATTGATTTTATGTGTGGGTCTCTTTATCATTAGTCATCATGCAGAAGGGCTATTTCCCGGTGCTTACATCATTTCTTTTAGAGTGGCCAATTCAGTCCCCTGCTGCAGTGAGCTTTATATCGAGCCCTCTCCCTCTGGGAAGCTCCATATTTAATTTGACCATATGTAACAACTGACAAGGAGAAAACCTTAACTCCCTCTTGACCTTTCGGATGCAGATTCTTGCTCATATACCGTATGCGAGCCTGCGAGCGTGCGTGTTGGGGCATGTGTGCGACTGTGGCTCCATCAATTATTAATTCTCCATATCTAATTCAGGATCCTGTCCTCTCATATTCAGGGGAGTGCTCTCCTCGTGTTGGGAAAGAAATGAAACTGTAGGTACAATGGATGTCAGTGTCCTTGTTGAAATAATTTGGTCCAGATACCTACTGTCCTCTTTGATTTAGCAGTGGATATTTGGCAACCAATTTAAAATACCTGCCTTTAATCTAACCACCACTGTTTCAATGCAATAACGCTGCCTGTAGCTGTACCTCTCTCCAATTATTTGTCAAATTAACCTTTTTCCTGCCCCTGGTTTTCACCGCCTCTGTCCATGCCCTTATCACATTGTTTCTGACTTTTTTTTTTTTTTTTTCCCCCTCTACCATTGTCTGGTTGATATGTGTACTTCCCAGATGCAGAACTCCACAATTCCATTTCCCTAAATCAGATGTATCCATAATGGATATTCCTGCTCAAAACCATATTCTCACTGCAATCTCACCGCTAATTTTCGTGCCGAAGCCGCTGCCCTCTTCACTGATGAAACTCATTGGAATAAATCTTTTTAGGTTACTTTTAAAAAGCTGACACATCCGCTCTACATAGGGTGACTACAGTATGTGGGGAGTGATTAAAAGATTCACAGTGGGGGGGCGGATCCCATTACCATTGGTGGATGTATAAATGAAGAGCAATGTGATGAAAGTGGAGCCATTGATTTAATTGATTTCGTGCAATTAGGAAATAGATTTCTACATGTCCAGGTCGGGTTGGGTTCAGACCATGTTGTTGCACAGCTCCCTCGGCTCTTCACACCTCGTCCCGGCTGAGACGGCAAGGATGAGAGGCAGGGGTTTCTCTCTCTGGATTTCTTCGGTGTACGTAAAGCTCTTTAAGGCGCAGCGCCCTCGGCTCTTGTCAGGTTACCCTGCTTCCATGTGTTGCAAGTCAGACCTGTAACACAAGGCAGAGACACAGAAAGTGAGAGAGATGTGTTGCATTAGCCTGGCAAGCAAACAGTCAATAAAGAATGAAGTAAAAAAAAAAAAAAAAAACCTACTAAAGGGGAACATCTAAAGTTCCCCAATGATTCTGGAAATTCTTCTTCTTTGTGGGAATATTTGTCCTCATACGACCCCTGGATGTTACCTCTGCAAACATTGTTCTGGATTTCATCAGTTTGACCTGTAAAGTTAAGACGGGAAAAGAAGTTCTGAGTTGCCATATTGGGAAAAGGCAGAGATGAGTTGATATTGACTAACAGGTACAGCAGATGGTTTATTATTATGAGACACCGCAGTGCCATGTGCTGGTAGTTGGCTGCAGTTTGTGTTATCGCCACAAATCACATACAGAAAAGAGGAATGGCTTATTGGCTATTATAAGCCATTTGTGTTCTGTGCTGGTGGACTGCCACGGATTATTCTGTGCAGAGCTAAGATATACATTATGATATTGTATGGGATATTATATTATAAGATGTCAGATTGTTTATTTTAAGAAATGTGTGTCCAAAAGTCAAAAATAAACTGCGCCTGAAACTCCACCAGTGGTTGGAGTCTGCTGCTGAATTCTTACTTCTAACTGTATTTTTGTATCTCAAAGTGAAATAGCCAAATACCACAAGAGAGGGGCAGGAACACAATAGCTCACCGAGGCAACACAGCTTAGTAAATGCACATAAAAAAGGTTTACTAACTCAGAAATGAACATTTGAAAACTCACCACAGAGCAAAGCAGAAGGTGCTGCTAGGTTAAAATCAGAATGTCAAATGATGTTTTTTGCGCCATTAGAGACCGTGCACCTGATGTATTTGGCGTGTGTGTTTGAGGATGTCTGATAATTGACAACCGGTAACTTATAAAGCTCATTTTTAACAGTTAACAATAACTGTTTGAGTAGAAATTGCCTCAGATATCTCTCTTTGTAGTCTAGAGAATTGCTCATAAAGACCCATATGCTATTACATTTATGGGGAGATTTAAAAAAAAAAAAAAAAAAAAAAAAAAAAAATACAATTGTACTATGATGATATGACATTGAAGGAGATGGAGCTTTCTGCCAAAAAGTCATGTGATATAATTCTAATACATGTTAAATGTAAGGTTACATACAGCAGCTGGTTAAATTTTGCTTTGCCCAAACACTGTAAACGGGTTAAACAGCAAGCATGCCTCTGTCCAAAGATAACAAAATCTGCCAACCAGCACTTTTAAAGCTCACTAATTAACACTGGGAGTCATACTACTAGGAGCAGTAAAATGGCAGTAAAAGTGTCGCTGGTACACTTTGGCTGAACAAACGAGATACAGTGTGTTAATTAGTGAGTTTGAGAGGCACTGTTAGGAGGTTTGTGTCACCTTTTGAAAGAACCAGGCTATTTGTTTCACCGTGTTTTTCCAGTCTTTCTGTTAAGCTAAGCTGACCAGCTACTGGAGTGTATTGATCAGCTAAGCATTTCGCAAAATGTCAAACTATTCCTTTAAAGAAGCAGGTACAGGTCAGGCTCTTGCTTTAATGCTCAGACCTGTAAACTCTACAAACTGTGGAACACGGATATTTTATTCATTGTACTTCAAAGATCATGTTTTCCAAGCATGGTTTTAAAAAAAATTCTCCCTAGAGTTGAGCTGTGTTTTTTTTTTTTTTTTTCCTGGAGCTTCTCAAAGGCTCCGATCACTTTCAGCATTTCCTTTTACATCATCTTTGTGTACTCGTTTACTGTATTTCTCTTCTTACACAGCGAAATGAGTCATTTCAGCATTTTCTCCTCTGCAATTAAAAGCGATCTACAAAATCCATGAACTTTTAGTACGATTAAACGATTGCTGATGTTTACAAAGCACTGAGGATGCCAGATGTACAAGGAGGTGCATCTTTGTCATGCTATTGCATCCTGGCAAGAATCATTTGTCATATTTTCATTAAATACAAAGCTTATTCAGTGATTGTGTTGTTTGTTCATATTGTAGTGAGTGTTCTAAACCTACCCTCTAAACAAGAAGTCTGTTGTTTGCTGTGCTGCTTGGAGAAGGCTGTATTCTTTTTTCTTTTTTTTTCTTTTTAAAGCCACAGGGACTAAAGGAGGCTTGAGTCAGAGACACTGAAGCCACCACCATGTAAACCAGCCATTAACTTCACATTTAACCATGAAATGAAAGCTCAACGGGAGGTAACAGTTCATTGCAGGTCAGGATGCCCAGGCCCTCCCTCTCCCCCCTCCTTCTCTCTCGCTTTCCCTCCCTGGCTCCTCATCGAGAGGCTTCATATAAATGTTTTACTCTCCAAAGTAAATACTGCAGTGAGGAACGTCACAACTAGACACTATCCGCAAAAGCTTTTTACGTGGACGATGCATACACCCTGTGAATATTGTATATATTGACACACACACAAGCAAAAACATGAGCAGTATACTGTGTATATATCAAGACATACAAGCTCAGACATGAGGATGTGCACTCGCACAGCATGCTCTTCTTTCTTGCTCACTCTGATTGACAATATTCCAGTCCAAACCCCGGTAGATATCATTTGCTGGTTCATGCGCCCACACTGTCAAGTTCCAGTGTTTGCCTGAATCAAGAAAGGAGGTGGTAGTCAACAACAAAAAAAAACAACAACAACAACAACAAGCAACAACTCTGTATACTCTGGGCAGCAGTCTATCTGCCAACTCAGGCCTTGGCAACACACCTCTGCTCGAAGATGGAAGCGCCAACCCTGTGGTGCTCCCGCGCTCCCCGTGTGTTGTGTTGTGTTGTGTGACAGCACGCCCACTGTACTGTGAGGTTGGGCCTGTGTTTCCACTTGAGTGTCTCCTGTTTGACTAATATAGTGACAACAGGTCAAAATGTCACTGTGAAGAAGTTTTAAAAGGCAACAAAGAAAAATCCCAGAATCCAGTTTGGCTTACTGGCCAGATCTCTGAAGACACGTGGCAAACAAACAGACACAGGCTTTCATTGTTGTAAGGTTATGGGATGACCGAAGTTGTTACAATTCATCCTGATGGGAACATGAATATGTGTACCAAACGTGTTGGCAATCGAACGAGAAGTTTTCAAGATACATAAATGTTAACCTCATGGTGGCGCTAGAGGAAAAGTCAGTGGATCACCAAAGTCAATAGGATCCTCTTCGAAACAAACGCACCCAGTGATTATAACTGGTAAAAAAAAAAAAAAACATGATAAATAAAGCAGTTTGAAATTAAAAGTCAGCGTTTCGCCAACGCTCCGCGGTGGACACGGGACGTCAGCGAAGGGTTGGGAGCCGAGACTGCTAAACTGTGTTTCAATTGTTCCTCTGATGACTTATGATCCAGACGTTCAACTCAAATTTGAATGCTTCTGCCAGGCAAACGCAGTGCAACGCATACATATAGAGGATATGACGCCATTGACAGGCCATATGAAACGGACTGTTACCATGATTAAAATCACAAATTTCTCTAGGCTTGAATAGTACTGGAAACATTTGGGATAATGTAAGCAGATTAGCAGGTCTAGTCATTTTTAGATATTTCAATGTGGAGAAGTTTAAAGTATTATTTTGTTTTGTGAATATGATTTACTGATGACATACTGTAGGTCTCAAATCAGCACTTTACTACACCACACACAGGCACAAGGTAGCTCCTTCAGTAACGCATGTAATAGTCTCAATTTGAGTGGAATCCGAGCATGACACACTCAACTCGGGCCTAGCAGCCATGCCTTAGGGCTCCCAAACAAAACCAATCCTTGTACATTTGACACGTTATGCTGTTTGTCTTTCACTTGGCCTTCCACGAAGCATTATGAGGGTGACAGTATCCAGCTCTTCATGCTCTCCTGGGGCTAGTGCTGACTCGCAAGATATTTGGCTACAAAAAAAGACTTTACAGCAGAACTTACCACTTAGCGTTAAGTGCATTCAGCTTGAATTGATTCTATTATAACATCAGTATTCAATCTTACATCTATCATTGTTTCTCCTTGTAGGAATTCTTCCATTAAAATCACTAAATCACTAAGGTGCTGCACAAAAAGTGAGTGATGTTATCAAAGCACTAGAATATCTACACCATCACAGCTGGCTGGACCATGTGGTCTATGGGAGTCAGTCTGCTTGTTAGTGTTGTTTGGCAGAATCTGAAAGCTTAATGGCTGGTGGTGAATGTCCTCGCTTGGCACAGCTTGGTTAAGTGCTTGTGTTTAATTTTTTATAATGCATCAAGTAGTTTGGGTAGTTTGTTCAAACAATTATTTTGCCTCATTGATGATAAAAAATAAATAAATAAAAGTGATGTGCGGTCTTGGTGTACTCGTGGGTAGGAACACAGTTGTGGGCATGGCTCAGTGATGTCTGTGAATAACATCAAGTATGTGACATGTGAACAAGATTAGTACATGACTTTACCTGTCTTTTACATATTACACCTGATGCATGGCAAAACATGTAATGTTGGCTAACAATAGCAAGCCATTAGATGTTAAATTATAGCATTTATATCATATTACCATACATGCTTTTGCCTGGACTGAGTGACTTTTTCCTCACAGTGGTAAATGTAGTTACAAGTACGGCCGCTCTAACCAATGAAGAATAGAAAATGATATTTGAGGGCCACTTTTCAGCGAACCTCTCATTGAATCTGTCTGTTCTTTTGTTGTGACTGGAGATTTTGCTTTCTTATAAATAATAAGTCTGCCAGTGTTTATTTTATCAGCATGTAAGATAAGAGCATAGAGGTGAGCCAGTTGGTCAGGAAATCTGATATCTCGTCGGGATATTGTGTCTTTTTTGGATGCAAGTCTGAATGCAATACGAGCCCTACACATGCACACAAGATTCGAGAGTCAATTGCTAAACAGAAACCTTTCAAATGTAATAGGCTCATATCAGGGCTTTGTATCAGTCATAAACGCGCCATAGAAACACTGAGTATTGGCTGCAGTCTGTGTTTTTTTGACATTTTTGGCAACTCAGCTCTGGTTAACCCAGTCCACCGCACCGCAGTAAGTCCAACTGAGTAGTATTTAGGCATCTACAAAAGTCAGCCAACATCAATATAAAAAATAAATGAATCCTTACTCTGCAAGCATTTGTCCAAAATTTCTGCAAGTGTGTGCATATGCACGTATCACTGTTTAATTTTTAAAAGGTGTTGAACTTTTCCAACTGATTTAAGATAACAATG